CAGAGGAATCTGTTACACTGCATGTTTTTTGTGAAGAGAGAAGCTTAAAAACGTTTTTAACTGGATTGGACAGCCAGTTTAGGGTATTAAGTCACAAAAAAAAAAAGTGAAAAATTCTGAGCAGCCCTGTGAAACAGAGTGTAAATGCCTCATATAGAGACTTGGTTGTTTGGGAAGGTTTTTTTCTCTGGTGTTTGTCTGTTGGTGTTGGTAGTTTTTTTTTAAACCTTTGGTATGTTCACAGCTACATGAATGCAGTTCCAGGTCTGGAACAATTAAATATGAAGGACTGTATGAAACACATCTTTTTACATACCTGGTAAAATGGAAAGCCTTGTCTCTTCAGAAAGGGGCTAATTTTTGATTGCTCTCAGGTTTTGGCTTCTTTTCTCCTTGAAAGTACCCATATAGCTTCTGCTGCACACAGTTACACTTGAACCAGCAGCTTTCCTCATTCACTTCAGTACAGAAACGCCAAGGTTTTCTGTACTTTAAGTACCTTGCAAGTTAGATTCAGTAGGCTCAGTACTCAGAGGGAAGAAAATGTAGGTGGTTTCATGGAGATACAGAGGAATTAAGTGCTACAGCCAAGGTAACACAGGAAATCAAGGTTGCCTACAGATCAGGGATGTGCATCTCTGAACTGCGTATCAGGTAGTTAAGAGGGAGCTGGACAGTGCTTTCAAATAAATGAGTGAAATTCAGGTGTAGGAATATGAGTTAGTAAAACTGACTTTCAGCTGGGAGCAGACACTCTGTCACCCCAATACTCAGTCCATCCCTCATGCAGGACCCTTTCTCTCCATCAGCATGAGCCACAGGTTCACAAGAGAAGACTGAAAAGGTGTTCATCTGCAGTCCAATAAAGTGGCATATTTACCTCCAGTGTCCTTCCAGTGAGGATGCCAAACTTTCCTTTGTGCCACAGATGCCCCTGTGCCTCCATTGAGTCACAAGCATCTCCCTAGCTACCTTGCATGACTTTGAGTGTGTCCTCTGATTTTATACCACCTTTGCAGAAACTCAATTCAAAGAGGCATGGATACTATTCTGTTTAGGTTGCAAAGCTCTTCCCTCTTAGTCTGAATTGAGTAAGAGATCCCTTAGGGCTCGTCTAAGTGGACTGTCTCATCTGTAAAGGATCTGGGAGTCTTGGTGCTGTAGCCACTAAACATCAGAGGGTTTTTTTGGAAAGCAAGAGAGAGAAAGACAATGCATTTTTCTTTTTCAGACCAGAAAAAAAGGGTCAGAGATTCCCCAGGTAAGAACAGAATTACATGAAGTTCTGTCTACTTGACATGAAATGAACCTAAGGTTATTTTACAATAGTAATTCACCTTCTAGAGAACTGCTTTTGTAAAGTGGAATAGCTTCTGTTTTTCTTCTTGTCTTTAGGCAATTCCCGTGCATGGGAGCCGATCTCGTTGTTTTTCAGTGCCATGTGAATATTTGCTTTACAAGTAGTGACCTTGTTCACACTGTCTGCAGTTGCTTTTTAAAATATGGTGTTTCTGCCTTCAGGGAAGGGAGAGGGGAAGGTAGACTATGCAGTATTTTCAGATATTCTCTCATGCATGATATTTTCAAATTATAATTTACTTGTAATGTCTGTAACTTAGTCCTTGCAGTGAGCTAAGTGTTTGGTATAGGACTCTAGAAGAAAACAGCTTTTCTCTCCTGTGTTTTATAGCTGAAGAAAACATTACAAAAAAGAAAGTAGGTACAAATTTTGACTAGATGGAGAAGTAGCAATGCACAGATACATATTCTACAGCTTGTGTTTTACGTTATCACTACTGGTCATGCCCACTAAACATCTTCCAAGACCATGTCTGCTAGACATGTATGGAAAGGCCATATTGTGGGCTAGTTGTGGACTGTGTGAAATGGACTCTGGTGAACACCTGCTCCCAAACACCACATTTCTTCCGTTATGTGGCTTTAAGTGAAACCCAAACCCATAGTTAGTGTTTCTTGTATTTAATTGGCAAAGTAGGCTTACAGTGCATACACTGAATACTGGCCACATGCCATAAAAACTACGCATATTTTGCAAATAAAAATTAATATCAGAATTAACTCCCCGTAGACTTTTTTCCTCCCATTAACCCATTACAAATCTCAGGCAGACAGGGACTATGGTGCCAGCAGATCAGTAATGCAGAGAAAATTCTTGCACAAGATTTATACAACAGTTTTGAACATGTGATGACCAAAACACGGGTAAAGATACTCCTCACAAATATGCGTGAAGCCCTTGCCTCATGATGTTTCTCTGAGAGCTGCAGATTATTCCCATCTCTAGTAATCAGTTCAGAGCAATTGCTGTTGTCCAAATCTCACTTACATCAACTGGGAAATCACTGTTAACTTTGAAATTCTATAGTGTTCTCATTTTGATTGAGCTTCTGCGTAAAGAAAAAGCAAATAAGCCAGATTATGGAAACAATTTCAGACAGCTACAAGTCCACTTGTTACTGTATCTACCTTCAAATTTCAATGTAAAACATTGTATTAGCCTGCAGGGTAGCAAAACGGTGGGGTTTTTTGGTTGGGGTTTTTTTTCAAAAATGTTGCAGACAATATTGGTTTTTTCCCCCCTTGCAAATTAATGCACTAGCTTTCTCAGGGGCATCCTCAGAGTATTTGACTCACACTTGAAGTGCGTCCTTTATTAAAGAATGGATAGGCTATCAGCAGTGATAAGCTTAGTATTGTTTGCGTGTTGAGACTTCAAAGGCTTCAAAGTATGCATTGACTGTACAGATGGAATTTGTTCACCCACATTGTTACATCCTAGGACATGGTATGACACAGCCTGTCATGTCAGGCATCTCCTTTACAGTAGTAATCCAGGCTCCTTTCAAACCAGCAGAGAAGAAAAGGCTCTTCTACAAAGCAAACCTCCCCATCCTAAGGGAGGGGAGATCCTCAAGGATGGTGGTCAAGCCTCTGACATCAAACACAGAGGATTGTTCACTGCAGAGCGGATGGCAGTCTGCAGGCCAGCCTTTTGTCAACACTGGGTGCAAAGTCCTGTTTGAACTGATACTAGCTGAAAGAGTGTCAGACTACTCTTAAAACATGACCCCTTTTCCTGCCCCTAGACCAGACATAAATTTATCCTGGTCTGAGAGGATATAAATCATGCTTCGAGGGGCCAGGAAAAAGGAATGTGTTATTAAGAGGAGTCTGTACTGCATGTTTGCATTTCATTAACACTAAGAGGCCCCAGTCAAGATCAGGATATGTGAAGATGTGACACAATATGTGGATGCAAGTGAGAAGCAGGAGGGAGCTTCGGTTTTGGAAGAAGTCACAGGAGGGTTTTTCCTGGCCTGTTAGGGCAGAGCACCCCATACAAGCAAGGCAGCATGGAAGAAAGAGAAAGAAGCCAAGGTGATGCACTCCCCCAAGTACTGAGTGCTAAAAATGTGTTTACCTGGAAGATAATGGGAAATGCATAAAGATTAAATGGGACAGGGACTATATCATACTATAGTTCAAAATGCATATGTGTTACTTGTTCATAGTTGATCTGCTAAAACCGTGTTTTCTTCAGTTTCAGTGTGTGCACGGAATGGTAGAATGTCACATGTCACCTATTATAAGCATGTCCCTTGGGTGCCTTTGTGTTAGAAAAGGCTTCAAATATCAGACACCTTTTCTGTAGGTGTTTGCAGCTTTCTAGTCAACTCCAGTCAATAGGTAACAGCGTTGTTTCACCTCAGGGTACAAACTGTCTTTCCGAAAAAAATATTGGGATTTTTTGATCACAGCAACAAAATTCCAAACTTCTGTATGTCTGGAAATAAACAAATACCATGCAAGAATCTCCACCATACTTTACAGTTTGCAGGTAGTCACTTCAATTAGTTTTAGTCATTTAAAATGTATGGGCATATTGTCAAGGGTTTAAGCTTCACCTGCAGTCAGTGTGAACTGACAGTCACCACAAAAGGGACTTATCCTTCTCCTTGTGCGGATAAGTTGAGCTGCTTTCTTTGAGCTTATGAAAAGCATATCCTTGACAGAAATTGCATTGGCAAGTCCTAAGGCTGTGATTACTTATCCTTCCCTGGCAGCGTCCGTAAAGGTTGCTAAAAACAATGTTCCCACCTTCTCTATGTATTCTCTAAATGCAGCAGGGAATAAGCTACGAAACACTGTGGTCATGGTGATACTTTCATTTAATAGCAGTTTAGACACCAAATTGTGTTTAGCAACATTGTTGGCCCAAACCCTCATGCTCGTCTCCATGCAGATGTGCCCAACTGCAGGAGACGCTAGGCTGGCCCCTGGATCAAAGATTCCTGTGGACACAATGGTGGCAATTGTATATGCACAGGAGGGAATAAACCAACTTCCAACCTCCCTGTTCTCCTCATACTACAGGGTCAAACCACGATGGCCACAGCTTTCATTTATGAGCAACAAAAGAGACACTCAGCATTCAGCCATTCATGCTCTCCTCAGGGAGAAGGAAGTGGCTGGACTGAGGTCTTGAATAAGCACAGGGCCTCAGGTTGAACTTCACTGAAAAATAACCTGCTTCAAGGTAATACCAGGAGGAAATATCATCCTGGACCTTATTTTATTGGACGCTATATCAGCAATCTGTAATGACTCACATCCCAAAATAACTTGAATGCAATTAATGCAATAAAAATCACTGCACATAAATTGCACATTTTTGATGAAACATCTGAGTGTTGCAAAAATTTTTGGCCACTTGATTGACACGGCTAGGAAAACCCTCACTTCCTCCCAGGCTGACTGTGGGGCTGTCTGTCTCTGAGGTATGTATTTAAACTCCACTCTCTCTGGCAATCAACAAAATACAGGGTCAAGTTATTAGTGCTTGTGGTAGCAGCAGATAGAGACCTCAAAGGACTTGCCAGATCCTCCCTAGCCTTCCTTCTTCCCTCACATACAAGTATACTTACCAGTCAGAAAGAAAAACAGCCTCTGATCTGTGTTTTCATTCTTATCTTTTCCAGCCACTTCCACATCTACAACTGGGACAAGTCATCTCACAAAATGTGACATAAAGCAGAAAGCCTTCTGTGTAAATGGGGGAGAGTGTTATATGGTTAAAGACCTCCCAAACCCCCCAAGATACCTGTGCAGGTAAGAAATCTTATTTGCTTCTTTCGTTGGAGCCATCAAGTTTCACAAATGTTTTTTTTCTTTAAAGGAGCACCTGAAAAATGTCTTCTTCTGAACTTGCATTTCTTTATTTTTAACCATGTGAATATGGAAAGAATGCCAAGAATTACCTCTGTTTGCTACAGAGGCATATGAAACATAGCAGAGGCTAACTGGGAAATATTTCTACATGACAGTGGCACAGCATCTTCTATTGGTGTTTATATGGCGCTAAATAACACAGCTTTAGCCTTGTGTTGGAAGTAATGAAACAGACACTGTAAACTACAATTCTACATTTAGAAAAGAAAAAAAAAAAAAGATGTGGAAAACTGCATTGAATACTACACTTCGTATAGAAGAAACTGTTATTTTAGTTGTTTGTAGTAACTGAACAGTTTCTGGTGAGACTGGATTCACAACTGTTGTGTTTAATTGGATAAAAAACAGTGAATGTCATGGTCATGGTGGAGGTTACTATTTTGTGTGCCGATCTTGATTCATGGAGCCGTATGAGTTTAGTTTAGTGGGGTGCTTGTGCACCTTTTTCAGGTCTTGGTTGTGCTGTATTGATCTGCTGCAACAGTCCCTTGCATCTGAGAACATCCATGAATAGCTGCAGCATTGGAATTTGCCTCCTGTCTGGGAGCATGTCATGTAGCTTTTACTCCTGAAGATGGACTAGTCATAGGGACTTCTTCATACTATACTGAGAAGAAACTCAGCATTTAAACCTTGGGAAACATACTTGGTACCTAAGAGGACTGAGTGAAAAGGGTGTGCTTCTGTGAGGATATTACAGTTTTTCAGACAAAGAGATAGTGGTTGGTTAAGATTGTCATCGGCTGTAACTGCATAATTTTTCAGTCTTCTAGGACTAAAAATTTAAAAACACTAATTGTAAAGATAGCTTTGGTAGGTGACTTAGGTGAAGGTCTGCAATGCTTTCATTAGGCCAGGAAGAAATTGACTGCTTGTCTTTGTTGGTTATTTTTGGGTTTTGGGTTTTTAGCTTTTGATTTTTTTAAAAGGAACATAAACAAACAAAAACCATCAAATCCCTACCAAACCTCACAATGTTCTGGTTTACCTGTAAATCTGTTCCGTAGAAAGATGTTACCTGCACATCATGGACTTTGTTTTGCTTTGGATTTTCATGGATTGCTGTGCTGCTGAAAGCAACGAATGTTCCATTGAATTTTAGGATCATTTTTAGCTAAAGCAAATGTGGAAAACGTATATGTACTGTGGATTCTTTTTTTGAGAAAGAGAAAGAAAGATTTGTGTTAAATTTACATGGTTTTTGTAAGCCAGCATTCAAGATGAGCAGTTTGCTATGACTCTCCAGAGCATGTACAAGAGCCTGTGTGTTTCAACGTCCTATCCAAACACTGTTCAGGAAACTCCTGTGAATGGCAGAGCTGAGCATTGAGCAGACTTGCTAATCATTAATATTGTCTTGGTAGTTTCAGAGGTATCTCATCTTCACTGGTATGGGGACTTCTTTATTTTAATTCAGACATCTGTGTATATATGCTCTGTAATGATATTATAGACTGGCTAATTTTTTAATAAAATGTCTTGGAGACATTTGAATAAAGTGGGGGCTGTTTGTCTCTATTGTAGACAAGAAATAACCTTTAATTCTGGGACTGTATTTCAAGGAAAAGGCGATTCCCAGATTTGGCAGATGTGCCTCTGCCTGGGTGGTCCAAGAGCTATTTGGAAAAAGCATCAGAGCTGTAAACTAAGACAAGTTGAATCTCATTTATAATAAGGCAATGGAGAAGGATTCTTACCCGAAGAACAGTCAGGACCATCACTATTTTGCAGGGCCATTTGCTATGCCCTAATACTTGCCAGAACAAAAATTTTATGTTGTGTAGTAAAACAATGCAATACAGCTACATAAGAAATAAAAGCGAGTGCTTGAAAGTGTGTGTACTAGGAAACTGAAGGGACAAAATACGGTTTTCTTCTTGCTTCTTTAAAAAGAAAGATGTCCACTTTTTATTTTTATTTTTATTTTTATTTTTATTTATATTTATATAGTTATTTAGACAATATTCCAGCTATCTAAAATAGGTATCTAACCACTACACATTGTCTTCATTGTTCTAAGAAAACAAATCTACTCCCAGAACATGCTTGTGGAAACAGAATGCTTGAAATATGGTACTTGCTCTTCATATTTCTGCCTCAGTAGCAAGTTCACGTTTTTCCATATGGTCCATCTGTTGAGAGCAAAAACAAAATTTCTAAAGCATGAGCCATATCATTCTAAATTGGTTTTATCCCTAACCAAAAAAACATGACTCAGATTCAAAACAACCATGGAATTTTCCAAGTAATCTCCGGTTTTGTAAATCCCCTATTCTATTAAAGAAACAAAATCCTAATATATACATATATATATATATATATATATATATATATATATATATATATAAGTGAAATGCTCAAGAAATGTGTGAAGACTTAGTAAAGCATTGTACCACTACATCTGTGGTAGCATGTATCTCCCCACATGTATTTTAATTAAGGCCCAAGACTGAATAAAACAGTACCAAAACAGGACAGATGAAACAGGAAGCTTTGACTACTTAAATAAACCAGTGTATAAAATTTTCAGAAGCTGCATAAGAACATGGGTCCCATTTTGAAGACATCATAGACTTAAGAAAGCCTGGATATTACTAGTTTCCTATGAGACTGAGATTCTTAAGTCATTTCTGTTCAGTTGGAAATGTGTCCCCAAGTTCACTAAAGAAAAAAGATTTCAGTAAATGCAAAATTAAGAACAAAATTACTAGCATTTGCTTATCGCTTGAAAAAATCTATGTGAATATAAGATCTGTTACACTTTTAGAGTGTTCTTGTGAAGTATCATACCATGAAGGTCTTGATAGTCTGACTAATTGATTTCTGACTTGCAGACATTATCTTTCCTAGTGGTTTTGTTATTACTGAAGAAAGTAAATTTACGATGGAATTTCATTGGATGAAAATAATGCTACTCTCTTAACAGAAGTGTGCTGCTGCTTTTCTTAACAGCAAAACAGTGAATTATGTACTTTTTAATAATGTAGCCATTTTCTATATCTGTCTTCATGTAACGGTCTTTGTAGAATAGAAATGGGCAGAAGTTTCTTCAGACCAGAAGGTTTGCAAGCAGAAGTTCCAGAAGTATTCATTCAAGAGACAGGATAGAAATACTAGCTCTGACTTAGGCAATGAAATGGATTACTAAGTGGTGTACTTTCCATGGGAAAAAAAAATTCTCTCCCTCAATACATTTGTTTGTAGGCAGTGAACAAAACAGAAATACGAGTTCCTGAGCCATTCAGCCATTCCTGTCCTGATGAGAAGCAGTGTGATGATATGTTTTCAGTGTTCTGAGAAGTGTCCACTGAGGACATGCAAATGCTGCTCTTTGCAACTACTGTGTGTAGAGGGAAAAAAGCAATTATTCTATTATATGTGGCTCAGTATTTTGGTTTTATGCAGTTCATACAGGAAATAAATGGTCCAAGTAGCCTTTTTTAAAGGCAGAAAGGAAATTTTAAGGCTCTCACAGCACAAAGATATACATTTTGCTCTAAATTGTTTGCTGAACTTTTGCTGCTGTCCTAAAGGAAAACAGTACTTGGATAATGATCTAGAAAAAAAAGTCACAACAAGAAATAACGTCTGTAAACTTTGAGTAGGGGAAGGTGTTTGGGAAAGGACACCATTGCAAGCTGATTGTAAAAGTACGGTCAACAAGAAACAACGTTTCAAATTGTAGTGGAGACAGTGCTGCAGTGCACATCTGAGCAATAAAATGCCTTTAGCATTCACATATCATAATAAATGGACAGGCGCATCTCAGCTTTCCTTTCAGCTGGCCCACCCCGGGCTCATTCTCAAGGGCAGGTGTGCAGCCCATTTGTTGACAATGGTTTCAGAGCAAGTATAAACACACCTGAACAGTTTTCAGCACCATCTCAACAGGGCTGACCCTTCTTGGTCTGGAAGTGATTTCAACATTGTCTATACCAGTGCTCAAGTTGTTTTCATCACCTCCACAGCTGCGCCAACATCTGAAAACAACTACAGACAAAGCAAGCAACCAACAGCAGCCAGTGGCAGGAGGAAAACATGAGCTTTTCAATCATATTCCTCGGGAATTTGTAGGGTTGAGCCTCATGAGAAAGATGTAAAGGTCCCTGTGAACTGAAAGCCAAGCATGAGCAAATGCCAACTTTCCAGGAACAGCCATTTAACATGATCAGTAGTGCAAAATATTTTTATTCTTGATTCAGTAACACAGATCAAAATTCTTTCTATCAAAAGCATTTTGCCTTCTCTCAAAGGTGCAAGAAGTCTTCTATCATGCACCTTCTAAACACAGTTACCTTTGTTGCATTTTTCTCAACTGAATATATCTTTGGAGACTGAGATATTTCCACACTGGGTATTAAGCAAAAAGAGGTGAAGAAAAGGTGAATAAGAGGTGAAGTCTGTAATATCTTTGCCTCTGAAGAACCTAAACTCTCTTCCTTATTAAACAAAGATATCATTGCAGCAAATGAGGTCCAAAGAATCATCTGCAGATCCTCAAAATATACCTTTATTACACGAATATCATTCTTGCATGGATTGTTTAAACAAGATGCTAGTGTTTATCCCTGACATTGATCCTTTGCCAAAGGGATTTTCTGAAAGTCTCCCTTGTGCAAGGGCAGCATCCCTGTTTTTAGGGCTAGAGGCAATTGTGGAAAAGCAGAATTTAAAATACTGGGACAGCTTTCAGCACATATGAAACTCAGATGGATAGAAAAGATGGAAGATTCTTCTGACCAACAAGTATTTGCAAATAAGAAGGCTTTTTAGCACCTGACTAGTGAATTATAAAGAAATTTGAAAAATATGCTAACACCATGTCATCAGCAGGAGAAAAAGAGTGTGAGATTCTTGCACCGTGGCAAACTCATGGAGAACATCACGAAGACAGGCAACACAACTGAAATGTGTTCACAGGAGCAGATATCAGGTAATTTCAGGTTACGTGCTGAGTAAGAGTGGAGAGAATAAGAAGAAAGAGCAAAGATTGAAATCTATAGATCCTTAGTGTGGTGGACAGTCATTTACACTTAAGTCTGAAGAATGGGAAGCCTGCATTGCTGTGGTGATATTTTGGGAGCCTGAGCCCTGCCCCAGCCTGGAGAATGAAGGCAAAGGAAGAATTGATAAGCAGCAGCAGAAAAGACAGACAAATCACAGAAGAGAAATTCCTTCTCTATGATCAAGGGGAAAGCTGCACTGAAGTTTTCTGCAGAAGAGCTGCTGAACTGGAAGGACAGACAACTCTGGGACTGCAAATCTTGAGAGCACTTCTGCCCTCTCATTTTATTTATTGCCTGGACTGACTTTTTATCTTTTTGTGAGCAATGTTGACTATCTACTTCCCTTTGGGTTTGACTTTGTCTTCTCACTTTTTGGATTTTTGTGGCTTTTCGGTGATCACTGTACTAACTATTCCTCCTGAAAGCAAATTACCAGATGACACAACATGCCATCACAGAAATAGGGAAATCATGGTAGTTTTTATGTGACTGTTGAAAGCAATGGTGTAAATTGTTGTTATGCACTTCATTGCATATTTTAAAAAATAACTCAATCTGGTCCCTTCATGAGATGGAATAAGCAGTGAGCTGGTACACATTTTTGCTAGCCATGATTCTTCTTTCTTTTTCAAAACAGACAACCAAAAATACTTTTTTTCTCTGATGGATTTTTGCTGTAAATTTTGCAAAGTTTTATCTTCTGGAAAGGTTACACTTTCTTGCCTATCTTCTGATCATTTTTCACTAACATCCAACCAGGAGGTCACTTAATGCACTCGCACTCCATAGACCAGCAGATGTAAGTCTGTTAGTGCAGTAGTTTTGGTGTACTATTGCTTATCACGTTTTTGCCCTTTAGGTGCCAACCTGGATTCACTGGAGCAAGATGTACTGAAACTCTGCCCATGAAAATCCAAAACCAAGAAAGTATGTTAAAATAATCTGAACTTTGCTTTCTTCCCCAACTACAGCAACAAAATCAATAGTACTTGGTGTTTTCACAGTTCAGCTGGAACCGGCCTCTTATACTCACTAATTTATGACCTGATTTTCTGAACTACAATCTTTACACCATGGCATTATTGATCTCCAAAATATTTCTCGTTTGTGTGATTTTTGATCTTTCCATTCATTCACAGATGCATTTGTTTTGCCCACGCTGGCAGTTTTCCTGTTTGGGAGACTGCTGCAAAGTGCAGCTCTAAAAGACCAAACTCATGGAGATGAGTATGTACAGATCTTGTGTCCTTGCTGCCTTGTGGAAAGAGCATCCTAAAACCGATCTGGGTCTCTGGAATGGTGAATTTCTGTCTCAGATCTTGAAACACACTTTGATCTGGATTGGTTTGGTTTTGGCTGGTTTTTGCAGGGGGGATTTCTTTACATTTCCACAGAGCAAATGACTTGCTCTCAACATCCTGAGCTATTTTGACACGCTAAACCGAGATTCAGTTTCTGAAAGTGAACTCACCAAGTCATATCAGTTCACACTGAAGGAGCTTCTTTCTTAGCATATATTCACCTCTTCTCTTTTCTCTGTTTTTTTCTCTACCATTTTTTTTGTTTGTTTTTCCTCTCAGGTGCCCAAATGAATTTACTGGTGATCGCTGCCAAAACTACGTAATGGCCAGCTTCTACAGTACGTCCACTACTTTTCTGTCTGTGCCGCAGTAGAAGCATGCTCAGTCGGTGCTGCTTTCTTGTCGCTGCATCTTTCCTCCAATTTTTTTTTTTTTTAAATCTGTAACTAGATTTGTTGCCTAAGGCCTAATATTGATTGTCTCTGCCTGTTGCATGAAAATTATAACAAAAAGCAGTTGCAAATTGTAACAGAAAGCAATCCTGAGTTTTTTTGGCATTGAGGGTATGGGGAAATGCAAGACTTAGGAATGCTGGGAAATTAACTATGAATGTGTGATATGGACTCCTTGCTGACATCAAGCAGAAAAAGTACAAAAATGACATTTTGAAAGTCTCCCATAAGCCACAAAAAGCTTATGAGTCTTGATACAAGCCAGCACTCCCTCAACCAAAAGATGGGTAGCTAGTCCTCTGCTTATATATGAGATTTGCATTTGGAGCTAGAGGTTAAAGGTAATTGAAGTACTTACATTGTTTCTAAAGAGCATGTGCCAAACAGGACCAAAATGTTCTCCTCCTCCTTTTCCAAGCTTCAGTGGAAAAAGCACAGAAAGAAAAATGAAAAGGAAAAAAAAAGAGGGAGAGATTACTTAAACAATGAGGTCTAACATATTTTGGGTATATTGTAATAGGTACAAGAGATCAAAGATTAATTGGCCAAATGAAAGTATCAGACATGCACATACACAGACTGCTAGAATCAGTGCTGCAGTCACATCCCATAAGGTTTCCCATGGACAAATGGGCAATTATTATTACTTGACAAGGATGTAGCAGAAGGTATATTTTATATTTCTTTTCTCTCATTAGCTATAGCAGTCAAAGTTAACATATAAGAGTATTGCTTTGATCGTACATTTAAATTCTTGTGTACTACTCAATTCAATTGTTACTGGAGTCAGAATGTACTGTGATCTAAAAGCAGTATTATAAAAACTGTTTTTTGGTGGATTACCTGCACAGAAAGACTATAGGCCAGCTTAATTTAATTTCCATTGGTATATAGGACAAAAAGCTGTAAGTATGTGCTGGACATTTTGGAGCCTGAAGAGATACTCGGGTTTTCTCTTATACTGATGGATGAGTAACAGCCATACATAATTCATACTTTCTGTCATGGAAGATACCCACGTAAATCCCAAGAGTGCTGACTGGGGACTGGACCTTCCAACACTCAAAACAAGGCATTTTATGCCCTATTTTAGGAGTTTTATTAGTGTGAGTTATATTTAAATGCCTCTGGTAATGATGGCTTTAAAAATTTTTATGCTGTTACAGTGTTTGTTTATCAAATGTTAGATTTAACTGGCCTTTTCTGTGGATTGTGGTGAAAAGTGCAGTTAAGATTTTCTGATCTTAGAATAATAATTTATAAGGACGTGATATAAAAAATATGAGATCCATTGTTTGCTGCAGAATTTTATCTGAAAAGTATAGAAGAATTGTATGTTGATTAAAAATTCTTTTTCCAACCTAGGAGAAAAAAAAAATTAGGTGGGTTTTCATTCCTTTGTTTTTCAGTTTCCTAACCCTCGTTGAGATTTTCAAAGACACCAGGTTGAGATTTTATGAAGTTGCCTCCATGGAAAAGGCACAGATGTCCTTGCCTTGATGCAAGAGCTACACCCACTTATTAGTACTTAAGTTGGTCAAGCACTTCCTCTCCTTGAAATGCAAAGGCAGGACAGCATGCCACTGCCTACCTTATGCCACTCTGAGAGCCCCAGTCAATGGCTATGAGTCTCTGGCACTGCCCTGCATCTGCACTGCAACATCTGATTTCTTATACTGCTTAACATCTTGAAATGACACTTTTGGAAAGGGTCCACTGAGGGCACATTTATACTTAACTAAAAAAAAATCAATGAAGAATCATTTATATGACTTTATTGGCTTACCTAAAGCAGACCAGAGCCTACTATTTAATGGAGGACATAGAATGAGAGTTCTCTAAAGGCAAATGTTGCATTTGGGGCTTAAAGCCAAGCTTGTATTTTGCACCAAGTGTTGTGGATTATTAACTTAGTTCTGTAGATGCAGCTTTTGCAAAGTACAGAGCAAACTGGAATGCTAAACAGCATAAGTGCTAGTAGGAAACAAAAGTGTATGTGTGAACCATACAGCTCTCTAATTTCACTTGCTTTCATAAGGGTTTTTCTTCATTTAGAAACAAAGGTTCAATGGGGTCTCAAGCCAAGGGTGCCTACCAGTGAGCTGTCTTAATTTGGCTGTTAAAGAAAGTTTATCCTCAGAAATCTGCTCTGGTGTTGGTATTTGATAGTCCTGAAGTTACTGGGCTGAGGACCTTTTGCCAGATCAGAACAAGGCACCACTGGGCATTCTAGAAATGCTCTGTCCCAACAGAGTAAAAGGCTAACTTGACTCATCTCAGAAGCCTGGCTGGCAGACCCTGTAGTGTCCTTTCCTTGAGCACAGCAGTCACAGCTGCTACCAGGCATGCTACCCTCAATTTTTTCTGTGACTGCTTTGATTTTGAGGCTTATGATCCACCACTGGTCCATAAGACAGCAGAAGGCAGTCCACAATTTTTTGCAAAAATACATCCGTTCCATGCAGCTATATTTTCTGTCTGAACATTCACACATTCACTCCCTTGAAGTCAAGGAATCAAGGCAATGGAGGAGAGCAAAAGTAATGAGTTAACATTAAAAGTTTTGGGTAATTTTAATGTAGTTCGGCATGAGAACTCTTATAGCAACACTGTGCAGAATGATCCCTGGGATAAGAAACAGTTATAAAGCCGAGAATTAATAGAAGGTTGAGGAAACCTCTCTAGAGTTTAATCGCAGGTAAACCCTTTGTCCTCTCAAATGCCCCAGATGGACCCAGAATCCCACCCAAGGGGCCTATGGACTTGCTTACTTCACTAGTTAACAATTATATATGAATTGTGAATTTAGAACTGGCTGGAGGCATGCTGTGGGACTTCTTGGGCATCAACTGAACATGGTCCATGCCATCCTTCAGCATGGGTCACCAATTTAAACAGTGCCCATTTCAGCTCTGCCATCCCTGATGAGCAAGAGGGACAGTACCAAGAAGGGCAGAAGGAATTTCCTTTTTAGATGATAATGGCCCTTGCCTCATATTGTCACAGTGAACGGCTGAGGCATTAAAGGGGGCAAGAGAAAAGCTATGATATTCTAGAAGGATGCCCAAAAACTGCAGTTACTCTGTGATGGCTTAATTTTTCAGCCTTTTCATATAAACTACAGGTCTTCAAAAGTCTTTCTGTAGCTATTCTACTACTTCAGTGTTCCTCATTTTCTACATATTTCTCAAGAAGTCACATCTGTATGAGGGTAGTAGACAATCTCACCTGAAATTTTCATTTTGTAAATCCTTTCAGCCCCTAAATTGTATACTTTATGGGCTGAGACCAAGACTCCTAAATGAACAAGCAGATTTGAAAAAGCCATCTTTTGCTCAACATTTAAAGAGACAGGTTTTCACTATAAACTCAGTTAATGTTCACTAAGTGCTAGAATTGCTATGATAGGATACTTCAATTATGAAAGGACAAATTTTCCATGCTCCTGAGATTTGAACCAATTGTCACTTTTACAGGAGCCCTAGGACTTAACACATCAAGTTCAAAACCAATTTTGCAACTTGAGTACTATTGAAATGGACCAAATTTTGGATCCAAAATGGAATCTGAATGTCACAAAGAGACTGTATCCCAGTCTCTCAAATAGAAATGTCTGACATACAATGTGTTTGCTCTGTGATAGTTTAGGTGATTTGAGTGTGTTTTCAATTGAAATTGCATGAAGAAGAATTTATGGGTTTTTAGCTTTTTTCATTACCCACAGAAAGAAACATGACACTTTGCTTCAGAGTTTAAATTGGTCTTCCTGGACCTCGCTGCTGCTGCAGTTGAGGTCTAAATGGGTTCTTTCTTTGCCAGTGCAAGCTCTGTACAAAAACCTGAGGTAGTGCTCACCCCTCACTGGGCAGCACATGTCTCCAGGCTGCCCACACACCTGAATCCACACAGCAGCCACCCCAAAGTCCCGAGTGCCCAGCAGCTGTGGCACACAAACAGAGCATGCAGTTCTGGAAGATTCTGTTCCACATTTCCTAGCACCATCCTCTTGTTCTGTAGACCCTGCATCTCAGCAGGTTACAGTACATCCAACAATTTGTAGTTTTAAATAACTTTGGTGGAAAAAATTTGCTTCCTAAGCATTTTTTCCTGCAAGACTGTCATATCCCCCCCAGTCACAACCAGAATGAAAACTGAGTTGTTAAAAATAATTGTA